CTTGCATTCTGGGAACTTCTGTCTGGTGGGAAAACAGACAAATACAGCAGAGATAACGGACTACTGATTTGACTGCGTACACCAGGGGCGTGAAATTTTGCACACACACACACATGCACACACACACACGCACATGCACACACACACGCACACACCACACGCGCATACACACACACACACACACACACGCACGCACGCACGGCACCAGGGCCTGAGTCTGACATCTCTGCCTTGGGGGGTTTCAGTAACACAGTATTCTGCCACTTATATAAATGTTAAATCACTGTTCTACTTTTCTGTGAGGTTAAACTGAAAACCATAAATTTAATGGTAATGACCCAGCCCTCACAAGCATAGCGCTTTCGCCTTCAGGACCCGGGCAGGGAAAATGGGAGCAGAGGATAAATGTGAAACACAAATGTGTGGAAGCAGCATACAGTCCTGTGTGGTGTTTGGAGTCGGGCCAGACCTGAGATTTCACTGCTCTAATCGAAGTTACTGGGGTTAATTTCTGATTTACTCTCCTTTGTTGAATCTAACATTTATATATTATATTATACACAATAGAATTCCTTGTTTCTGCTACTTATAAATTCTGTTCTCATCAAATCTTTCCTTTTTATTTCTGCAATTATTACATTACATCCCCATAAAAGCCATCGTCCCTTTGTGTAATATTATTAAGGTATCGCAGTTTGGCAAATGGACGTAAATGTGTAGACGCATATATTAACCTATATGCCAAAACACAGAACGGAAATCTAACAAGATGCCGCATGTTCAGCTTTATGCGATGAAGGAACAATGATCTATTAATATTGTCGTAACCAGCAGTCTTTCCCTAAGCTGACTTTTAACTGCGTCCCGTATCATAGCCAGAAATTTCTTACATTGGCTGGAAACTCCCCTCAACGGCAGAATTACTGTAAACAGCAGCTTCATGCAAAACAAGCGCAGTTATCAGGGGACTGAAACTCCATCAGTCAGGCGTCTGTAAGGTCCACAAGAGAAATGAGCTGGGGTGACTGGATCAGCAGAACGACAGGGAGACCTCGAGATCTTCACCCCTGAACAATAGAGCTGTTATCCGGGGCCACTTTTAAAGGTTAGCTGGGCGATTGAGTGGCAGTGTGCAGACAGAGGCTGCCTGCTCCCGACCTGAGACCCTGAGCTCTGTGTCCTTCAGGAAAGCCACCATGGGGCTCGCTTCCATGTCACTGGGCTGGTGACGGGGGTGACAGGTCAGCGGGCCAGGGGCCACAATAAGCCTTCCCATGCGCCCTGATAGCCAGAACGTGTCCGAGTTCCCAAGCAGAGCACATGTGTAAACAGAAACGGTTAATGAAGGCGGGTTCTAATGAATCTGACTGAAAGGTCACCGGAACGCAAATTATAATCAGAATCCTTTTAGTTACTAAGTACAAATACAAAGAGTTTATTTTGATGCAGCTGGTGGCATGAAGAACACAATTTAAACATATGATCAAGGCAGAGATACAAAAAGCAGTGAAAAATTGCTTAATAGGCGTGTTTTGTCTTATAGGTTATTCTGTGCTGATGGAAAGTTTTTGGATGTTTTCTTAATTCTGGAAACAAATGTTGCAATTTATTGGTTTCATAACCAAAGTCCACTGACAAGCAATATTTAACATCTCTGCATATATCTTCCACACAGACATTTCATAATTTTTGGACTGACTCATTCAGTTCTGTTCTCACCATTTTGCTATTAATTGCAACTGCAGTCATTTATCCCAAAGGGATACTAAACACAAATGTTTATTTTATTACAAAGGTGTTACTAATTAAAAAGCACCCAATGAGGCTGCTTGTCAATGAATCTTCTTAACTCGGAGCAGCTCTTTTAGAACTATAATTCCGGTTTCAATGTATTCCTAGCTGAAATGAATGTTTTACTTAAAACTTCAGATTGTTTGTAAGGTGAAATATTTTTTTTGCAGAGAAATTAATAATGTAATAATTTTTATTATAAACCCAATAAATTTGCAATCTATTTACTGAATTATAAATGCAAGACTTTCTGTGAGGACTGTACATCCCATTCAGTCATTAAATAATAGATTCATCCATCTATTCATCCATCAGTCTTCTCAGTGATTATCCTGACTGGCGGCTGTAACTACCCCTGGCTGACTGGCGGCTGTAGCTACCCCTGGCTGACTGGCGGCTGTAGCTACCCCTGGCTGACTGGCGGCTGTAGCTA